AAGCTGCATGTACAAGAAATTCATGTTAGCACATAAAACAACACTTTGAAATAATGGGAACAAAACAACATCTCAAAAGCAAAGTTATGTGGCCTTGCATGGACTAAGCAGCTGAGAAATATTGTAAGGCATGTCACGAATGTCAATACAATACAACTTGTGGTTGCTGATTACAACAGGTTTCACTTCTACAACTTCTATTAGTGCAGGTTTTTCAACAGCCTAGAGACAACCTTCAGCAAACATGGATTACCTGTCACCTGCAAATCACATGATGGACCACAGTTCAAGTCTGAGTTATTCAAGGCTGTGAAATTAATGGAATCAAGCACATCCAAGCAAAACGCATCACTGATCAACATAATTAAAATTGCTTATGCAGAAGGACTTGATTGTAAATGTGAACTTAGAAAGTTTTTACCGAAGCATAGAACATCCTACTACATGGAAAAGTCCTGCTGAACTTCTCTTTAACCTCAAAATAAGGGGAAAGTAACTGTCGCAGTTCCTGCTCCTCGACTCCAGTTTACATGAGGTGTGTGTGGTTTTTATTTATTTCTGAGTTTTTGTGTGTGAGTGCTGAGTGTTTGTTGCTTTTTGTATTCCCCTCCCCCCTTCCACTCTGTCCTCTTAACTGTGCTCATTCATGGTTTGATTTATCACAAGGCACAAGCTACAACTTTTAAGACGTTGCTTTGTTTCCTGCCTGCCCCTGCTCTGCAACTGTTTTTGTCTAGAGGACTTTTTTCTGCCAATTCGCACTCACATTCAACTGGCCTGCCAGCTAGCCACCTCCAGCTCACTGTCTCACCCCCAACCCTGGACCCCCCCTGCATATTCTAAATAAAGTAATTTTTGATGTTTGCATTTGGGTTCAGCTTCATTTGTGACCGTTACAAACAGTTACAGTCCGGCAGAGATTGAGAGTTGGTGCAGAGTTCTGTGAGCACAGTGAAGAGGACAGAGTGGAAGGGGGGAGGGGAAAACACTCAGCACTCACACACAAAAACTCAGAAATAAATAAAAAACACACACACCTCATGTAAACTGGAGTCGAGGAGCAGGAACTGCGACAGTTACTTTCCCCTTATTTTGAGGTTAAAGAGAAGTTCAGCAGGACTTTTCCATGTAGTAGGATGTTCTATGCTTCGGTAAAAACTTTCTAAGTTCACATTTACAATCAAGTCCTTCTGCATAAGCAATTTTAATTATGCTGATCAGTGATGCGTTTTGCTTGGATGTGCTTGATTCCATTAATTTCACAGCCTTGAATAACTCAGACTTGAACTGTGGTCCATCATGATTTGCAGGTGACAGGTAATCCATGTTTGCTGAAGGTTGTCTCTAGGCTGTTGAAAAACCTGCACTAATAGAAGTTGTAGAAGTGAAACCTGTTGTAATCAACTACCACAAGTATTGAGTGGTTGGTAGGCAGCGGTCCTAGCAGGTCAAAGAGCAAGTCACTAGCTGCTTTGTTTGGTCAGGCAACCGTTGTTCCTCATTTTGAGAAGCACTGTGACGCATCACAGGAGGGGCTTAGTGTAATAATGTACCAGAGACAACAAGGCAGGTAGGTTGTCATCAGTTGTGGATCAAGAACACAAACTGCTCCAGAAATAAATGACCACCTCCACTCTATAAAGTTAGGGGTTTTTTAAGCGATGAAGTGGGCGATCTGTGAACGATTTCGAGAGTACCTGTATTTCGTTCACTGTCCACAACGATAACAAGCCCCTTTTATCTGACCACAGTGACGCTGAATGCCACAACTCACGGGTGGATTGCATGAGTTAGCAGACTTCAACTTCCCCATCAAGTACAGGCCTGGAAAAGTCCATGGAGATGCTGATGGCTTGTCACGTATGCCAATGGAACTCTCTGCCACCTGACATTTGCAACATTGACTCTCTCCCCATCTTCAAATCAAAACCCATCTGTTCAAGATCGCCTACTCACTCTAACATTTTAACTGTAATTACACTGTCCTACATTTCATTTCTTTTATTGTGTGCTGATTTTATCCATCGTTGTTTTTTAAATGTTGATTGTTGTACAGTGTCCTTGTGTGTCTTGAAAGGCGCTTATAAATAAAATGTATTATTATTATTATTATTATTAATAAGTTAAGTAGGTACCAGAAGGTAGACCTCTAACACATTGAAGATGTACAGTATGTGAGGAACACAGTTTTACATGTAGCTCTGGGCATTATGCCCTTTACAGTTTATGGTCATGCCTCGCTCATATCTCTAAATGAATGAATGAACGCCACCTTCAACTCAACCTTTCAAAGACTGAGCTCCTTATCATCCCAGCCAGTCCCTCTATGCAACCACAGATCAATATCCAGCTTGGAACAACCAAACTCATATCTACTGACATTGTTTCCTCTTTTCTAGATCCTTGATTGTGTTGTTCTTACTCTCTGATGTACGTCGCTTTGGATAACAGCGTCTGCTAAGTGAATTGTAGAATTGTAGAATATTCTTGTTCTGTGATAATGTGTTATTCATATACAAATGCACATGTTATATTTTAGTAGGTTGAATTTTGTTTTTTGCAAGTGAACTGACAGTCTTTGTAGTGCTTCACCTGCCGTGTTTTGCTAGTTCAGATGACACCACCTGTAGACTTTAATATTAACAGTGTGAGTGTGCAGAATCATTTCAGTGTGAGTGAGAATCACGAGAAGACGTTCAGGGCATCAGGTTTGTTTGAGTTAGAGTAAGAGTGTGATACACATGCAGACGTCCGGTAATATGCTGAACTGATGTGCTTGGGTTTCTGTATTCCCAGAGAACAGAGTATGACGAATTATTATAACCCATGCTTAGAAGACCCTTTTTGTGTACAACAGTGAAAGTTGTGCAATACTGTTTAGGACATGTATTACATAATTAACATAATACAACATAACTGGAGTGAGCTCAACCACCTTCAACTTCACACCAGCAAAACAAAGGAGATGGTGATAAACACACGAGACTGCACCGGTGTACATCTAGGTTTTTGACATTGAGATGGTGGAGACGTACTTAATACCGGGGTGTGCAGAAGGTCACCCGCACTTTCCATTAAAGACCCCTTTTTTTTAAAGATTTATTTTTGGGCCTTTAATGTAGAGATAGGACAGTGGACAGAGCCGGAAATCAAGGATCGAGAGAGAGAGGGGAATGACATGCAAGAAAGGAGCCACAGGCCGGACTCGAACCCGGGCCGCCCGCCCCGAGGACTACAGCCTCCATACATGGGGCACGCGCACCAACCACTGCCCCACCAGTGCCCCAGTAAAGATGCCCTTATTCCATCACTCCGTTTTCACTTGATCAGCCCAACGTCCCCCTTCTGCACCTATCACTGACATCAGAGCCTTGCAGTTATTGAAGTTATTCTTCATTTGTAGTCGGTATTGTTTTCTATATCACGTTTAGAACACATTTAGATGAGACTGTTATATCGCGACAGACATATTATCTCTCATTTATCATATTTAATGTTTGTTACTGTTGTAATTGATGCTGTTCTTGTCTCTTGAGTAATGCCTGAATGTTTTCTTTTCTGTCTTAACAGGGTGCTGTCCAAGTGTAATAGTTTTCAGACAACTCTCTGAACGCTCACTTGTAGTAAGGGACCGTCTACTGTATGTGTACTGCACAGAGATAGTAACTTGTTGATGCTCCCTCAAAGTTTTGAGGATCTTGTTCCATTTCTGCCATTTCAAGCATTGTTTATCTGTTTATTTAATACTATATTCTCAGTGTTTCTATATCATGTTTGTTTATTATTCATGCATATATTTGTGTTTATTCTTTTTCTGTCATTTTTGAAACCACTTCACACTACCACACACACACACACACATAGCCTATACTCATAGAATTGTTCATCAATAAACGAGTGGCATCTCAAAGAGAGAGTCTGTGTCAGACTGAACTTATTACTGTCATTCCATGTTCTTACTGGACGACCTGTAGCATCTGCATATCCTTATAACCAGACTATAAGGTTCAAACATCACTCAGCTCTCAAGAGTGGTCACCATTGTCTCTTTTATACTGGGTGCAACAAACTGGACTGGTCACACAACAAAGATGTCATGTACAAGAGGGGTCAACTACACCTGCTGAGGGTCTTTGGAGTGTGCAGGACTCTGCTACAGACTTTTTATGACACTGTGGTGGCGTCTGCACTTTTCTATGCAGTGGTCTGCTGGGGAGGAGGGAGCACAGAGAGAGACAGGAAGAGACTGAACAGACTGGTCAGGAGGGCCAGTTCTGTCTTGGACTGTCCTCTGGACTCTGTAGAGGAGGTGGGTGAGAGAAGGATGTTAGTGAAGCTGACATCCATCATGGACAACCCCTCTCACCCCCTGTAGACACTGTGGGGGCCCTGAGCAGCTCCTTCAGCAGCAGACTGGAACATCCCCTGCAAGGAGCGCTACCGCAGGTCTTTCATCCCATCTGCCGTCAGACTGTTTAACAGGGACTTTACCCCCAAATGTTTAAAAATGGAAAAGTATGAAACAAACGTTAAATGTCTTTGAGAAGATACCCAGTCACACACACCACACATTCCAATCTACACATTGCACTTTGACACCCTGGATACTTTACACTGTTTACATTATTCTATATTCTATAGTTTGTATATTCAAATATTTCTTTTTTTAATTTTACATTATATTTCTATTTTACTGTATATGTGTGTATTAGTCATTTGAATGTTATTGCATGGCCTTGCGGAACTGTCTTTACATTTCACTGCACATCTGTATGAGCATGTGACAAATACAAATCTTCAATCTTCAATCTTGAATCTTGAATCAGTCTGGATTGCAGATATATATATAAAATGTCAAATGTAAGGTTCAAATGGGGATAAGTGATGTTCGGTGTGTCTGGCTGAACTTACAGGTCTTATTTTACTGACCAAAGCCTTCAAGTCCCGCCCTAAGGAGGTCTGCTTGTTGACCGATCCCCATTTCGTAGCGGACTCTCAGACAATAGACCCCCCCCTTACTAGACGAACCGCGCCCGTCCTGGGAACTTTACTTTCCCCTGCTTTTCTCTCCTAACCTGGGTTAGTTTGATCATTTCCCACGGCAGATATGAGTTCAGCCGTGTCAGAGGGCTGTTTTCTGTCCGCTTTGCAGCCCAACTCTTCCTGGACCGCTTATGTTGTTCCCTCGGACGGCCCGTCTCCAGACCCGGTGGCTAAAGCCAGGAGGGTCCGGGAGCAGGTCCGTATGCGGCTGGCTGAAAAAAGGTCCTCCTCCCTGCCTAGACTGAACGACTCTTTCAGATCAACAGGTGAGCCACTTTGCGTTTTAAGGGTTGGCCTCACGCCGGGGTGCGTGGGAACTGTATCCAAACTGTTAGAAAGAGTGATATGTGAGGAGGCCTCTGGTTTTATTATAGATAATCAATAACACTGCTACAGAAGAGATGGTGAGGAAGAAACGTGTAGGCTAATAGTTGATTATAACGGATAGACCCACTATAGCCAGGGAGAAGAAAGTCAACGTGTTTCTGTTGCCTAGATATGAAACAAGCAGGTTTTAGATTGACCTGGGTTAAATAAATCAAAGCACTCTGCTGCTACCAGACCATTAAACAAGTACAAGGCTGAACGGGTAGGCCTACAAACTCGATTACTTTTAACTGATCCATTTCAGATTCAACTTCTCATCATCTGACCCTTAAAAGCATTTTTTTAACCCTCTCTTACTGTTACATCAGTGTGACTTTTTTTTACTCCAAATCTCAACATACAAGAACTGATATTAACCTGAGTTGTTTTGCAATCAAGATGGGAAATCTGTTACACAGACATCCAGGAAACCTTTGGCATGGAAAGCATGCACTTTGCCATCATATTTGTTTTAGTAAAACTTGATCTTCTATCACTGTGCCATGGCGGGCTGATTCTATGTCATAAATTAACTATCGGTCATTCATCCTATAGTGTTAAGGTCAATCTGCAGATATGTTGTGTGTAGGTTTAAAAAAAAAAGAATTGATCAGTATAAATCTATTTTTGTACACATTTATAAATGTAGCTTGTCACATTCAACTAAATGTTAAACATTTCAAACTTTAACCAGATATAGGCTATATGAACAAGGTCTGAAGAGTTGTTTATCCCTGTGTTATTCATCACAGACAACAGAGCTTTGTGCCATTTCCTGTCCTCTCTATGGAAAATGTCATTAATGAAGTCACATGTTCCAGTCAGGAATTTTGTGAATAATAGATACTCCCATTTTAAAAAGAACCGCTTTCTGATGAATTGATGAAGTCATTGAGTTAAAATAAAATCCCATGATATCTCTACTGATCTACAGTCACCATTGAGCAGCTGCATTTATGTAATGCTTTGGAATAAGACAAGTCAGTGTTTGCACGTCATAATAAAACAACAACCTCTAGGGGTCCCGAACCCCACTTTGGGAATCATTGTCTTGAAGCCCCAGTATACTTTTCCACCATAAAATTGTAGTTTCAAAGTCGATCAAACAGCGCAATCGTTAGAAACTGGGAGAATTGTGTCTCTCTCATTTCTGCCGTTCGCCTGAAAACCAGACTCTTTAACTTTTGGCCTCGCGGTCATCTCACGAGAAGTCATAGAGCTTTACAGCATTAGATCAGTCAGCAGGTTTGTGCTAGTGGCTAGTTAGTTAGCCCATCTCTGTGTTGTTTGATACAATGGCTGAGGCTAAGAGGAAGAGGAAGGTGACGGAAAAAGAGATAAAGTGACCCAGCAAGAAGCCAGAATAGAGGAAATATTGGACAGGCTTTTACACATTGGAGACTACAGCCCGACGGATAAATCGACCAGCCAATAACTTTGGCCGATATAAGCATATCAGCTGGCTATAGGTATTGGCTAATTTTATCACAGATATGCGCCATTATTACTAGGTTTATTTATCAGTCAAATAGCATTTCAATTAAGCCTCAATGCATTACACAAGCAGTTCTTTTTCTGGCTGTCATCAGCAGGGTGTGCCGTACGGATTATAACAAGAATTATAACTCTCCAGAGTGTCAAGCAGTGATGCACATAATAATAATAATAATAATACATTTAATTTGTAACACACTTTTTGCAAAAAAAATCTCAAAGTGCTACAGGAAAAAAATAAAAAATAGAAATAAAAACAAATTTAATCAACTAAGCAACTAACGGAACTAAAAGCACAAGCAGAAGGCTTTGTTGAATAGGTTTTTAGGGCCCTTTTAAAAACGTCAGCAGACTGCGGAGACCTCAGCTGCTCGGGGAGAGCATGCCACAGACTGGGAACAGAGGAGCAGAAGGCTACAGATGGTCACTGTGCACATACATGCACAGTGACCATCTTGTATTCATTATATATCTTTTCCACAAGCGTTTCATCCGTATTTAAGCGATCAACGCAATACATGTGTATATATACATCAATCTACCTCTACAGATTGACAATACATTCAAGAAAGATATCGGCAGATATAGCGGTATCTGATTATTTTCCCCTCCCCAATATTGATATCGGTATCCGCCCTAAAAATCCCATATTGGTCGGGCCCTATTGGTGAGCGCTTCAAGTAACAGTGGGCTGCAAGTCCGAAGCCGAGCTAATTCTTCTGCAGACGGGTGAGTAATGCGCTCGTTTCAAGCTTTTTCTGTACTCTGTTTCTGTTGGATCTGTTAGTTCTAGATTCAGTCTATCTCTACAGGTAGCTGACGTTATCATGTAACAACCTGATGTTAGCAGAATAATGCGACTGTCCTCGATTAGTTAGCAACGCATGCTAATGTTATTTTTATGAGGTATTTGGGCGGACTGATGCACGGCGAGAAAAGTTATTGACCCGTTAGTATTTGGTTGAAGGATAAGTCGTTGAACTATTTACATATTTGAGTTTCCAAAGTTAATATTGATATATTTACATGTTTTAATATTTTCAGTAGCATATAGTAACTGCGACTAAATTGTATTGAATCTACCTCTGTGGTTGTCATAATGTTTTTTTTTGTTTTTTTTTTACATATAGTGGTTCCACAGACCTGTGGTTCCAGTCCTGTGTTGGTACATAAGTCTACCACGGTCCCCTCTGCTTTTCCTGAAACAGACTCTGGTGTTTTCGTGCGCCCCAGCAGACATCAAGTTAGACCTCAGGTTACCTTAAGGACTATGTTCTAAAATGAGACTGTTGCAAAACCCTTTCTTTGGTCCTGTTAATGTCCTGCATTATTTGTTATGCATTTGTGAGAAGGACATTTCTTTTGTGGGAGGGGGAGGAAATGTAAGCTTTAAAAGTGAAGTAAATTCATATATTTGAGTCAATTCATGTATTTAAGTTTAAGTTAAAAATAAGTTTCCAACATTGATACAGTGAACTATTTACAAATTTGAGTTTCCAGTAAGTAAATGTCGATATATTTACATGTTTTAACCCTTTGACTTCCACACTTCCATTTTCAAAAAATTATTTGTTGGTAAAATTGTGTTCCTGCCTCTTCATTAAGCAACATTTCAGGTTATATTTTTCAGATTACCCAATCAGGAAGCAGATATATGTTTAGGGTTACTTTGGGCATGAATGGATTTCTTTCATTTCTGCATCAAAATGTTTAGTTCTCATATATAAACATCACAGAGAGTAGAACTTGTTAAAATAACCTATAATTTATTTAACAAATTGAATGAGTAGCAATGGTTAGAAAAGGTAAACAAAATAAGAAATTAGTGACTTGAGCCAGGCCGTTTGCGTAGACTGGCAACTCAACCGAGCAGTCAGCCATGTTTTCTGAGGAATCGTAGATATATATTTTATTGTCAAATTTATTTCCTTCAACTAAAATATGATTGTTAGAGGGTCTATAAAAGTTTTTTACCCGGATATTTGCTCTTATTCTGTGAGATTTCTGAGGAGCTGTGCTGAGTCACTCCCGGTATTTTCCACAGTTTTAAGACAATGATAATTATGTACAGCAGCGCCACCAATTGGACATAATCAGGGTTACATACACCATTCAGTGAGGTGAATGAGGTTAAACAGCCAAAGATAGGTTTTCAGAGTTTTAAATACAGCCATATGGTGGCGGAAAAAAGGTCAACCGCATGGTTACAATGCAATACAACAATACAACAATTTTTGTCACATCAGGAACTATGCGTACACCTAAATAAGTGAAGTTATCAGCTAAATTGAAAAAAGAAATATGGTCCATGGGATTGCGTCTTTCCTCTTAATTCAATAACATTAAGGAGGATTTGGTATTATTTACCTTATACCTAGAGACCAATCCAAAGACCTTTATCACATCTAGTAAGGCTGGTGAATATGGTTATCCGATGTTATGATGAATGTTACACTCCACATAAATGTCATTGTTAGGAATTATGTGTAAGTACTTTAGAACAACAATGTCATATGCCGTTGTTATTTTGGAGATGAAGTTCAACATCAACTAGGCGCAACTGAAACCAAGAAGGTTGAGTAGATTATAGAGGATGATATTAACGTTACATGGTTGACATTCATTCGACGGCACACAAACTCAAACTTCAACATTTTCTGTTATCATTATTATTATTATTATAAACAGGCAATAACTAGTACAACACTAAAGATGTCAAGAGATAGTGATCAGCTATATGTTGAAGCTTGAACATACAAATGAGTGCTGTAAGATTTGTGTAATTGGTTACCATGTTAAATTTTTTTGTCGCTTTGTATGAGTTCATGGAAAATTAATATGGTTATTGTTATTATTTAATACGTATATAGTTCTTCATCGTTACAGATGCTCTTACTAAGAATATAGCAGTAGAAATATAAAATATATAAATAACATATGGAATGAAAATAAAATATAAAGCAATGAGTATAATAAATAGTTTGAAGAATACAGCCATGTACCGAGCATGTTAATAGGAAATTTACTGTATGTGCTGTACAATAGCACAGAGGGACAGGGACCTGTTAATGATTTAAATAATTCAGGTTATATTTGTTTCATGTTAACATGATGTGAATAAGCTAGACTGACATATGTGTTACTTAACAGATTTTGCTTATAAATAGTTTCCTCTAGGTGATCCAGATAGACTGGACCAGTGGATGCTCAACATGAAAAGACAGAACTGGACTCCCAACAAGATCTCTTGTCTGTGCAGAGAACAATTTGAAAGCTGTTACCTTAGCACTGACTCCAGGGTAAGGAGATCTTTTTCATATTATTATTAACAAAGAAACTATTGATTTAAACTGATGAAGTACTATCCACAATAAACTGCTTAATTTTTCCTTACACAAATTATGCG